CCTCATGTTCCCTATCTTTATCCATTCATACGAAACATGATCACGAAACATGCTACATGTGGAGCCGTCGAAAGTTGGATCCATCTGACAATGCCTTGAAGAAAATGTTAGCAGAGTCGACGCTAGGTGGCGCCAAAGTGGCGGTTAAACTCGCCGTTAATTCCTAAATAATTTCCTTTGTTGCAACTGTTTTGAAGCGATTATAACTTGTTTCAAGTTTGACGTGATAATTCGTGTCAAATGTAATTCGATGGAGAAGACTGTAGAATTTTTTTTAATAATAGGCATTTTATTGTCATTTCAATTTAATGTTGAAACAGTAAGGGCGAAATGGATGAGAAAATAACGCATATTCGGCACTGCATTTTGTGGGAGTTCCAACAAGGCTCAAATGCAACAGAGACAGGGAGGGAGATAGGCGCCTACTTTGGAATGGACATCATCACCGATCGCCAGCGCAGGAATTGGTTCACGAAGTTTCGGTCAGGAGATTTATCGCTCAAGGATGAACCACGTCCTAGTCGACCTTCGGAGTTAGATAGTGATTCATTGGAAGCGTCGATCGAGGATAACTCACGTAAATCTATGTATGAATTGACCGAACTTCCCAACAGACCGTATATCGCCACCTTCCGGCTCTTGGGAAAGTCGGCAAGTTGGGAACAAGGGTTTCTTGCAGCATGAGGGTAAACTTTCTCCAGCTAATATAGTGTGCATTTTTGGTGATTTTCAGAATGATTTAAGCTGTGGTTTCTTTCAATCAGCAACCTTTCAGCTATTCTCTTTCATTTTCTTCTAGCTTATTTTGGCTCTAGTGGGATTTCCGAAAAAGATTTCTCTACGATGAAGGTTTGAGCAGGACCGTGCCCCTGATAAGGATCCTGCGATTCCTTGATATCCCAAATGTTCATTTCCTTTCATTCTTCTCTTTTTAAATTCCAGTGTCTTACTTTTTGGAGTCGGTCGTGTTGGTTAACCAGCAATGGGATCACATCACTTTCCTCCTACAATTACTTGTGTTGTCTGCTGTGGTCGAGCTTCTTGCACGCTGCTTCACAACCTAGAGCGATGTTGGGTGGTTTAGTGGCGTGGGGATCATTTACACCATTTTTTGTTATATATAATATATTCTATACATATTATGCTTCTTCATCTTCAAGTCCGCAAGCGCACTGTACGCATGCAAGGCACCTTCTTCAGGGTAGGGGTGGGGGTCGAAATATTACAGTTTTCTCGTTCGAGAACTCGACCCAATGGGATCCCTCAACGTAGCACGCATGTTGAGTCCGCTGTTCGACCATGGAAGAGTTGTTGATGTATGCACGCAAGGTGGAGGATCGACAGCGGCATCTATATTGCGACCCTGTCAATGAATGGAATTCGAGCGGAGTCTCACCTATAGTTATGGTCTCTATTCTACAGGGTGTTTCGAAAGTTCCTGGACCACTAAAAAAATGGAGACGAGATGAACGGATATATATTGATTGAATTGCATGCATTCCACATCATTAAGAATACCCTAGGTACCAACTCCGGCATCCATAATTGATAAGACTTCTGTGGAACTGCAGAAACCTCGGATCAGCGGCCTGAAGTTCTCAAGCAACCGACGGATGACATTCGTCGTGTTGGCTTCTCACTTCACTAAGAATTCCGGTAATGACTGATGCCCGATTCATGAGGTGGGGCCGACGCAGCGGGGATGTCTTCTCCGGGTCGGGGTCTCCGTCTCACTCTCGAACTCTTGATGTAGTTTCTTGGAAGCCTTCGCGACTGTCTGATCCGTCCTCGAGAACGGGACAGTGCGGCTGCAGCGTAGAGTGGTCAAAGGGCCGCTGACTGAACTCGTGAATAGCCGACAATCTTATACGTTAAGTCTAACCCAGAGATGTCTAACTTTATTAAGCTGGGGGCCCGATAGAACCCTTCAGGAGTGGTTTGGTCCATATTACCATATCTTACACCAAAGTATCAATTGCTAACAGGTTGGAAAGGTCTACGCTTTTCCAAAGATATCTGTTGAAGAGGACTTCGCAGGCCGGAAAAAAAAATTGAGCATCAGTTTGACACCTCTGGCCTAGACCGACCCGAAGTTCGTGGATATCTTCCACTGGTAGACTAATTAGATAGTAATATCAGGTAATTCCAGTGTATTCACCTCGTATATTTGCTGTATGGAAGAAAAATTGCATATTGTATACAAAAAATCTCAGACATGGCTTACTTTCTCTTCCACTCCTTATGCTGGCGACTGAGGAGCCATCTTACATCGTTAATGGTAACCTTTAGATAAATTGCCAGCTGCTCCGACAAACAAAATCGAAAGTGTAGACTGATGAGATGCTCCCCAAAGGGCGGTTAAAAATGCTATCACTGAAATGGGTTTTTCGGTCGTCCTGCTACTTATTAGGACGCCTCATTACCCATTTGCATCCAGGAACTTAGCGACCTTTCTGAGCTACATATCCCGTGCGAGGTCTACAAGCCTGTGCCTTTCTAGGCCATAGACAAGGTAGGACTTGGATCAAGTTTTGTTGGGTTACACCTTTGGTCGAATATACTCAGGAAGACAAATACCTTCCCGGCGTCGTTTGTGGAGGAAATATCAAGAGCTGCTCCAAAAGTACCGGAAATGCGTACCGCTTGCGTATATGCGACATCTGTTGATGTAACATTGACCGATCAATGTTCTCGCAATATTGCTCTTTTCAATATTGCTAAAATTGATTCAATATTGAAGCATTTATTCCATTTTTAAGTGTCATTATAATGTACCTGTAAGCATTGCTGGCGCGGTGAAGTGGTTTCACGTGAGTCTGTCTCTTCTTCGGATAGCCCATAGTACTTCGATACGAGTCAAAGGCATTCACCATAAACAGGTATTCCTGTTAGGCAGCAATAATAATAAAAACAAATTCAAACGGGAACTACCATGACGATGCATCATCAACATTGTCTTAAAACAACATTTCTACCTAAGTAATGTAAGTAATGAGTGAAACATGTGATTTCAACAGCCAGTTTCTAATATCTTAATGAAATTTCATTATTTCAATGCAACCTTGATGTGCACTTCTTGTGAAGAATGATATCGAAAGCTTTCGCGAAATCCAAATAGGCGATGTCCTCTTCATTCCCCATTATCCCTCTCTTCCGTCGCGCAATCGTAGTATTCCATGAAGTTGGTGAGACAATTACGACGCCTCCAAAAGCCGTCTTGAGAGTCCCGGATGAACGCGTTTCCTTCGAGGGAATTCAACATGTGATCCTGTAGGATGCTCTCCATGATCTTTCCCGGGATACTCGTGAGACTTACCGCCCTTTAATTTCCCGGATTGCTCTTTTCACCCTTTTTAAATACCGGTACGACGTTCGCTAGCCTCCAGTCCTCAAGTACTTCCTCACGCGAAAAGCTGCTTTCATATATACAGTAATTATTAGCGGAACCGATATTTCTCTCGCAGGAATCCCGTCGGGGCCGGTCGCCTTGCCAACCTGTAACTTCCCTATCATACTCACGATCGTCCCCTCGGTGATGGAAATATCCTGATGCGCGCCGAGGTCACCTCCTCCAAACACAGTACTTCGTCGAATTCCACAGTGAAAACGGAAGCGAAGAACTCGTTAAAGTATCCCAGTCATATATGTATTACATGCATTCGATTCCCCCTGGAGTTTACTAGAGGCCCAATCGATTGCTGACACCTACCACTACCATATCGATAAAAAGCCTTGGGGTTCTTCTTACACGTAGCATCGCCAGCCAGCCGTTCCTCGACCTCCCGTCTCGCAGATCTGATTTCCCGCTTCAACGAACTCTTGATAGTCGTATATTTCTCATAGTCCGTTCTATCTCCCGTACGCTTATGCGTATCCCATTTCCCCTTTGTATCCCTGATGAGTGCCCTGGTTTTACCCGTAAACCAGGCCGGTTGTCTGACTGATTTCAAGGATTAACTTGGGGTTCATTCCTCCATAAAGCCTTGCAATAACGTCTTGAGCGTCCCCATTGCTCTTCTACCGTCGGCCCACAGAACCGAATCTCCCAGTCGAAACCTGAAGCGCATTCACGTAACGTCTCAATATCAGCCTTCTTATTGATGTACGAAACATTTGCCAGTTTGGCGTTTCTCTTCGTCCGTTTGATATACCATGTAATCGCGCAATGGTGCGAATCTCTCGAGTTATCCTGTAGCGTCTTGGGCCAGATTCACTGTGAGTGTAGTACTTTGGAAGTTAATGTTTCTTTTTCATCCCATTACCTTTTTTTTCTCGAGAAGAGACTGGAGATCCCGTGTTCACTTTGTATAGCTTTTTAAACATGTATATTCATATTTTCTTTAAATATTACATTCTACTTTATTTTCTTCCAAATACTGAAACGATTTGCGGGGTAAAATGAGCCGCAAAGTGGGCAAGTGCAATCTAGTAGTGTGCCTCCTTTCATTTAAGGAGGCTCGCATTTTGTCACTTAATTGAACAATATGCCATCATTTTCTGGTCGTCGGCCATAAAAAACATCATTTTTCTATTACGTTTGAATATCTACCCGTGGTCCCCATGAAATGATCATGGGAGGATAGAGGGTTTTGCGTGCTTGGAAACATCCGCTTCGAAGGTTGGTTGGAAACTGGCACCTCTGGTTGCTGAAACGGCACCGCGCCTGGGTCGTAAGCGCATGTGCATTTGTGATCCGGATCCTGAAGGGCTTACTGATACTCATACCTTCCCCTCGTTGACAAAATTCAATGCTCAATTTCAAATCCAAAATGTGCAATAAAAAGACCAATTTTGGTTCAAATTCCAACGCAAAAAGAACTTAGCCTGTATATTGTTCATATCCAACGGCTTGCCAATTTCTGCATCGCTCAGGCCAATATTTTCGTAGTTATTGTCGGACAGCAAAAGTGCGACACACGGACACACGGACTGACAGGCCGGAACCATAAGTGGTCTCATTTACTTCAGGAAAGGAGGCCCAGTAAGTAGGACAACGATAAGAGGCTTCAACGTCGCAAGGAGGAAGAAGAGTTGGGTTAAATGAACATATATTTGTCGAGGGTTTCAATATTCACGAAATCTGTCATGGCCGGGATAGAGCATGTAAACGTCTCTTGGTGTTCAAATGAATTTCACAAACGAAGCGTCACTTCCGGAGGTGACTGATGGAATTGCCATGAGGATGGAAATATATTGCGGCAGCGGCTTGAGTTTTGGAGCGAGAAAGCAGATTCCTTTACAATATAATCTCGTCTTCAGCGCAACATGATGAGTCCCGATTTTGCATGGTAGGCAGGATAATTTGAATATGAAATGCTGTGTATCATTTTTAATGACCACCCTTTAATTCCTTCAATTGCTTTCGCATCGGAGAGTAGTGAAAGAGGAGTGTCACACTGGGGCAGCGTATTCCAAGATGGACCTAATGAATGTTGTCCAAATGTTGACTCTCTTGCATGGGGACTTGAAAGGATCTGATCTCATGTTATATACAGCAGTACGAATATCCTCTTTGAAGCTTTCCGTGAGGTCGAAAGAATGTGGCCAGAGGCAAGGATGAACACAACACCACGAACCCAAATCATGAAGGTGTAGGAACCTCAACCCAGAGTGTTCACCCATTGGAACGGAAGGAGAAGATGAAGGAATCGAACGAGGAAGAGGTCTAGCAAAGAAGTTCCATCCACGCATTCAAAGAATGGCACTTTCTGCAGGACTTGCTTGACGTCAGGACTAAGCACCAACCAGGCCATGCTCACGTCGCATTTCAGAGGGTTCTCTGAAAGATTCAGGTTTTGGGAAGCAAAATAAGTAAATTAGGGAGTTACACAGTCCCAATCGTTCAACTCACCATTTACGAAGATTCCGCCATGGCCCAATGAGGCGACCTCCACCATGGGTCGGAAAGTGTCTTCTGTCAATGATGTCATATTGTTCCGCAGAAGAAATACCTTCGTATCAACTCCGAGACCTGTGGGTAGAAGCCCATTTCGTATCCAATATGTGTCTCTTGTCAAAACAATTCCCTAAAGCGACAAGCCAACAGGAGGAAGGGAAAGTACGCAATGATAGCAACGGCAATATATGGATTCCACGAAAAGGGGGAAAATAATCAGAATCGGTCGTACGCATTCACCATATCTTCTTGATTGGATTTCACATCCAGAGAACATCTATTTCTCTTGCACTTCATGCATGTAGAATCATATTCAATTTGTGTCTCGAATAGGGAGCGACTGGTACTCTGTGAGCGAGTCAAAATCTGCAAGTGGCAATGGCAATATCTTGGTTGGGGCCCGCCTTCGCTTGTCTGGGTGTTCCCTCCCCCTTCTTCTCCACTACTTTAAGAATCCCACGAAGCGATAATGATTTTTAAATAAAAACCTACTCAATTACGAAGCATAGAGTATTTTAAATCTAAGTAATGACTTTGTGAGTGGCAGATTCGAGACAATTGCAGCCTTCTTAGTTGAACAAAAACAACGTTCCCAACCTGTGATGGCTCCTGGTTCCACTCTCACGATTTTATTGTCTTCGAGGGAAACCAATTGCAAGGATTGGCTGTGGAACACCAAGGATCCGCTGGACAAAATCGGCCCCAAATTGCAGTTCGACGCAGAAAATGACAACAAGTTCTCCATGGCATTGACCAATTCAGGAGGTAATGTCGAGAGGGGGTTGCCACCTGTATTAAAAAAGTAAAAACTTTCAAAATCTCGTAGGATTGTAAAGAAACGATTTCACTGCGTCTTTTATCCAATGTTTCCTTCAACATTTTGTTAAGGCTCGGGCCAGCTGAACAGAAAAACGCAGAAAGCCCTCGATAGGCACCAGTCTGTGAGATTTCTCGTATTTGTAAGGCAGCACTCATTACTGAAGAGGTACACCTCGAAATGTAACGGTATCGGTTTTGTAACTGATCTTTCCAAAATGGGGAAATATATTTGTGTTATTGTATAGGCAGTCTTAATGCAAGGAAATGGGTACCTCACAGGGAAAAGGAAGATACCTACACATAGAATATTCAATGGAACAGTTTGATTCCTTTTAAATGTGAACCAATACGTCATTTTTGTGATGCGTACTAAACGCATCAATGTACATTATATGGTTCTATAATGCATCAAATGGAAGAGAATTATAATCCCGCCCAAAATGCTTCCGTTGATTTGAAATTATGAGTGCAATACGATCTGATTTAAGAAAATTGACTCATCTGAGGGGTTTTTTCCCACTCCCAAGAGACGACACATCTTATTTCCTTCGGGTGACTATCAAGAGGCCGTACAGAAGACTTAGTGTTTTTGCTTAGAAACTCAAAGATAAATATACAAAGGCGGATATCTCATCAGATGTGTTTTTAAAATTAGGAGAATCCGTGAAACGCTTCAAGGCGATTGGCAATGAATACCCTAAATTTAGATGAACCTTTAATAGGAATATCATAGGCTTTTAAGCTTGGAAGTGAAGTCAACCGGCGATACGCATTGCTCCACCAAAATACGAAGTACACGAAATGGAATAAAAATACAATCAGAAATTCTACTCGAAAAACGGAGTAAGCACTCTACATGTATAGGGTGGTCATGAAGTCCCCAGTCTATTTTTTTATTAAAAACTCAAAATTATTTTTTAAAAAATGCATAATGTGCGCTACACATTCTCAATAATGAACTAAATAAACCTGGTAATAGTAAAGTCAAAATCAATTAATAACATTCTTTTTACTGATGTTTCAAATGATCACCTTCTAAATCGATATATAACTGCACTCAATCTGATGGGTCCCTGAACATTCTGGAGGTTCAGCATGTCAGGGGTTACAGTGTTAACGGCAGCATAGATTTTATCTCTTAAATCTTCAACATTGAGAACCTTTGTGCTGTAAACTATTGACTTAATGAACCTCTTGCAAAAAATCAAAGGAAGTTATGTCAGGTTATTCCGAAGCCAACATTCTGTTTGATCCTCGGCCAATCCAAAGGTTCGGGAACTTCTCATAATATAATCCCACACAATGTTCGCGAAATGATATTTGGGATTCAAGATCCCCTGACCTAACCCCCTTTGACTTTGTGGTATGGGAGTACAGTAAGTCAAAGGTTTACAGCACGAAGGTTCTTAATGTTGACGATTTATGATATCGTATCAATGCTGCTGCTAACACCGTAACCCCTGACATACTGAACATCCTGTATGTTCAGGGAAATAACGGATCGATTGCAATTATGTATCGATCTTAAAGTTGGTTATATGAAACTACAGTTAAAAAAAAAGTTAATAGCAGATTTTTAACACACTACCAGTTGTATTTACTTATTATTGACAATGTGATGTGCACATAATGCGTTTTTTTAATAATTTTGAGTTATAATAAAATAGATTGGAACTTTATGACCTCCCTTTATATTACGCAGTTTATCGAATCACATAACCATGAAGGAGCAATCGTGAGATGGTGATTGGTCTCGTATTGATTGTCATGGTCTGAAACCTTGCGCAAAGAATAGAATGTCTTCATTGAATAATTAATTACAAAGTATATTAGTTTAATTCCTTGATACGACCTTTTTAGTGCTCTCTCTCTTGGATCGAACTAAGCAGTCTCGTGGATCTGAAAGATGCCCTATACAACCGATTGCTAATTGAATAAGATAGTTAACAATTACCCACGAGGGAAAGACTTTCGAAGTGGACCACCCTTCGAATGGTGTATGTGATATATCAATCACAAGCTCTCGATACTTATTGCTTGTGCTGTTGCATACTTCAGCAAAGTTTAGCAAAACATAGTAATTTTAATGTGAAGAAGTGTGTGTCGTAGGATAGGCAAGAATTACGTGGCGTGCACGAGCACGTTCAACATGAGGTAGCCACGTCGAACGGAGGACGAGAGTATCCGTTTTCGTAGAAACAGAAAGCAAGTGTGGTGATATTCACAACGATGGGTGTTGTCAAATAATGTCATATTCTCTTAGAGACGCACGAGAGACTCGTACGAGACGGAGGGAAGGTGATAGTGCGAAGAGGCCATGAACTGGAAAGAATTGAGAAAGAATTTCTCAACAGACAGTGCAATGCTACATGAATTTATGAGAGCTCCTTCCCTGGCAGGAAGAAGTGGAAGACAGATGTTGTCATGCGTTTGGACGACACAAGGTCAATCAAACCCCCTACTGCAACCGGAATTAGACATATTTATATTTTCCAAGCGCTTCAAGGCGACGCGGTGCGGTCGAAAAAAGACCGACACAAATCGGAATTCCGACGGATGACTTTTCCTCGCAAAAAAATTAATAATTAAAATTTCAAAAATTGACCTAATTGTATCATTTTGATTCGGCGATTTCTCCAAGATGAGGATTTTTAAAATATCGAAGGCATCTCTCAAAAATTGATTATAGGAATTTCACGGCAAACCATACTTACTAATGTCTAGCGTTTCCAGGTTGGGCAAGGACCAACCGCGTTCCAGTGTGTCTATTTCGTTGTTCGTGAGAATCAACTTTTTCAGGCTGGGACATTTGAGTGCCGGCACTGACTTCAAGGCGTTCGATGAAAGTTGAAGTTCTTCCAGCTGGGACATAATAGGAAGTACATAAAACGGGAATTTTTCTAGGTGAGTGTTGATAATTGCGAGCTGTTCGAGTCGATCGTGCAAATGAATCAGTATCACGGCATCCATGCTGATAAGAACAGTGTCCTTAATGTATATTTTCTTGGTGCTAGCCGTGGACGGCTCCTTTCCTCCCATGTTCGTTGCCAAATGTCCTTCCGTGGTGAAGTGTGTTACTCCTTCTTCGTCCAATTGGGGAACATCGTGGTGAATAGATCTGGAATCCGTAGTGGACGACAATTTTTCTCTCTTCTTCGTTGAAAAGTTTCCTTCCGGTTTTGAGAGTGTATCTTTATCTTTGCCTGAGCGAGTGACATCCCGATGAATGGATCTGGAATCAATTGTGGTCATCACTTTTTCTTCCTCTTCGAAAGTTTGGGGAACATCATGGTGAGAAGGACTGGAAACAATCATAGCCACCTCATTTTCTTCCTCGCTCGTTTTCGAGTTTCTTTCCATTTTGGAGTGTGCCTTTTCCTCTTTGTTCTTGTGGGGAACATCATGGTGGGATGGTCTGGAATCAGTCGTGGCCATTTCATTTTCTTCCTCTTTCGTTTCCGAGTTTCCTTCCATTTTGGAGTGTGCTTTTTCCTCTTTGTCCTTGTGGGGAACATCATGGTGGGATGGTCTGGAATCAGTCGTGGCCATTTCATTTTCTTCCTCTTTCGTTTCCGAGTTTCCTTCCGTTTTGGAGTGTGTTTCTTGCTCTTCGAACGTTTGGTGAACATCATGGTGAGAAGAACTGGAATCAGTCATGGCCTCCTCATTTTCTTCATCGTTCGTTTCCAAGTTTCCTTCTATTTTGGAGTGTGGTTTTTCCTCTTCGTCCTTGTGGGGAACAAAATGGTGGGATGGTCTGGAATCAGTCGTGGCCATCTCATTTTCTTCTTCGTTCGTTTTCAAGTTTCCTTCCGTTTTGGAGTGTGCTTTTTCCTCTTTGTCCGTGTGGGGAACATCATGGTGGGATGGTCTGGAATCAGTCGTGGCCATTTCATTTTCTTCTTCGTTCGTTTTCAAGTTTCCTTCCGTTTTGGAGTGTGTTTCTTCCTCTTCGACCGTTTCGTGAACGTCATGGTGAGAAGAACTGGAATCAGTCATGACCTCCTCATTTTCTTCCTCGTTCGTTTTCAAGTTTCCTTCCATTTTGGAGTGTGCTTTTTCCTCTTCGTCCTTGTGGGGAACTTTATGGTGGGATGGTCTGGAATCAGTCGTGGCCATTTCATTTTCTTCCTCTTTCGTTTCGGAGTTTCCTTCCATTTTGGAGTGTGCTTTTTCCTCTTTGTCCGTGTGGGGAACATCATGGTGGGATGGTCTGGAATCAGTCGTGGCCATTTCATTTTCTTCCTCTTTCGTTTCGGAGTTTCCTTCTATTTTGGAGTGTGGTTTTTCCTCTTTGTCCGTGTGGGGAACATCATGGTGGGATGGTCTGGAATCAATTGTGTTCATGTCATTTTCATCCTCGTTCGTAGCCGAGATTCCTTCCGTTTCGGAGTATGTTTGTCGATCTATGTCCTCGCTGCGAAGAGAATGGAATTGAAGAAAAGTTTATTGTTTAATTTTATATTGTTTACAGTTATGGTGTATTTCTTCAATCAGTTCATAATATTGATTCTTGGTAATGAACTGGTTCAGTATTAGATCACTCTAAATCTATTGAACTATTTTTATCTCTGAACATGAAACTATGGCTCCCTCATAACTAAAACTACTGTGTTCATGCTGCTACTTCTACACGAAACCTTATGGGATAAGAAGCACTATCCTAATGGGATGCACTACTGATGCGACGTGAATTACATGTATGCACTACTGCTACGGCAATTGATGAATATGTTCAAGGTAAATAAGCAACAACAATTTTTTAATACTTAATTTAAGTTGAATCTATTATTGTGACGTCATTTTCAAACTATTTTTTGGCACATTTTGTTAGCGCTTCACGACAATATATACCCCCCCCCCCACATATCTGCATTGAAATGCTTACAAATGAACCGTTTGGAGCACCTTTAAGGATATAATTAGTATTGCCATTGTACATTTTTTCCGATGTTGTGGCGCTGTTCTACATATTTCTCTATTAGTGTAACTTTGTTTTAATGCTACTTTGCCCTATACCTTATTGATACCTCATTGTTAACTACGTGTGCTGAACTATGTGGCGTGTGCGCTGTAAGCACCCTGTACGTTTAAATCTTCAAAATGAAGACGGGTTTATTGATTCCCATTGAATCGAAATTCATGAGATTGATGCGTTATTGATCATGTTTAAGTATTCTAACAATAATAAAGTGGGGCACCTTTATTGACGAAATTTCCAAAATATTCTGATTGAAATTTTTTCTTTTCCTTGAAGAAATGAAATCTTATTCTTATTGCGTTTATAATTTATTCAATACATGCATGAGTTTAGATTACTTTCGACTGCGAGCATGCATTTCAAACCTTCTCATTCACATTACATATTCATTTTCGATCGAGTTTTGATACTTAATTTACTTGCCATTATTCGTAATTAAGGACACCGGTATTAATTCAAAACGCCGGGCAATATTAAAACCGAATGCTTCCTTTCAACTAAATTAATTTTCTCTTGAACTTTTGGAAACCCGAGTTTTTTAGATCTGAAATGTAGATGTTCTCAAATCTATTTTGATTCATGACTTTTTTAAAATTAAAATCTTATTATGACTGTAACATCAAAAACCGCATGATCGACATTTAGCGGCCTTATTGGGGATTCTTTGTTGGCCCCACTTCCAATTTCGAAACATTACTTCATTCCATTCCCCAAGAGGCTAGCGTTTGGGGAACACTCATTTGGTAAGTTCCAAAGGTTACGTTTTATTGCTTGTCTCTTATTCTCGATGACAAATACACTATTTTCAGGAAGGGTTTATTGAATGATATTTTTCGTCTACCATTAATGTTGAAATGAACTGACTTCAAATCAGAAAATAAACACAAATAGTTGAAACTTGTTTCACACACTTAGAAAAATCAATAGGTTTCCCAAGTAGGACCACGAGGAAGACTTATACAATTTATGATTGATATCTTACAAATATTTCACATTGATTATGTTCAGTCTTCCTTGAAGTCAACAGTTAGAGCAATTTAAACACATCAGGGCTTGGGAAACTCCCAGCATTTCATGAATATAAAACATGCGCAATTTCGTTGTAGAGATTCCTCAAACTCCTCTGGTTTCAACAATTGTAAAGAAGAGTGCAGGACATGTGTTTAGCTTCCGAAACTCCGGAAAGAACTACCGCTTCCAGGTTTAGTGAGAAAAACGAAGGAATTGAATCAATGAACTAAATTACAGGCAAACAGGAATACCGAGAATTCTCACTTGAGTGCAACCATGGTCTGCATGGATTCATTGAGTGTAGTCATGTCATTCTTCATGTCATTCTTCGATTGTGAGCAATCCACAATCAACTGGTTGGGTTCATCAAATGAGCATGTGCAGTTTGAACCGGCATCATCTTCGTAGCAAGGCCAGGACTTACTATAAGGAAACAAGATATCAGATTGGAAACTCTGGCTTGTGTTTACTCATGGTATTTATATGGAATCCATGGAATAAGAACTGATGAGAATGAGGATCGCAGCCACATAGAATAAATTTGAATATTATATATGTTCTGTGCTGTGAGGTAGATAATAACAGACTCTCAGCAAGCCTAATCAATTGTTAAGTCTTCTCACTCTAGGATGACTTCACCCGTAGAACAGAGTCTATCATTTACTTCAAGATTCACAATAATTTCCCATTTTAAGATTTTATAATGCTTTTAGTGAGAAAAATATGAAAAGCAATATGGTACAGGAACATGTTGGAAGCGGGTGCATTTATACAGAGTTAGTCAAAAGTCCTTCCCACCTTCTGAACGCTAATTACTTCTGAACGCTTGATCTCATGGAGATGCGGTTTTCACCATTCGAAAGGCAAGACAATTCTCTATACGATGAGGGATTTTTTGCATTATTTTTCCAATGGAAATTAAATTCATTTTCTTGGGTCGTATAAAAGCATTGGCACCCAAAGCATATGTGCAGCAATGTGTCTAATTTTCTGCTCGACTGTCAGGTGTCCGGATCAGAGAAGGTGTGCTACGTTTCCTGTCCTGTCAACATTTGAGTTCATACGGGCAAATAACTTGCGGCCCCAATCAACTTCTTCCTGAATGAGGGAGCGGTTCCCGTTCCATTCTGAGAAAAACCGAACTCGCTCATTATTGGTCAATCATTTATCAGTCATTTTCTGCAATCCTCCATGAATTTGAATTGATCACAGCCAAGGCACAATAACTCTCATACTCGAACAGACAATTGGATACGGTGCTGCAATAGTGTTTTCACGTGGCAATGCCTTTGTATAACCCCGGAATAGGAATTTAATTTCCGAATGATACCATTAGCAAAAGAATGCGAAAATTCTTCATTCGATACAGTATCGCCTAGCCTTCCGAATGGTTAAAACAGCATCTCGATGAGATCAAGCTTTGAGAAGTTATTCATATTCAAAAGGTGGGCAGGACTTTTGACTCACCCTGTATATTATCATGACTGATAACACGATGCTGTGACACGTGGAATATTAAAATCCCAATAATTTGGAACTTTTCTTCTGCGAACCTTCTCAGCCTCTCATCCCAACATGTTTGAAGAAAACTTTGAATACCTGTCTTTACGGACGACCGGATGCTAGAACCAGTGTACGATTAAATCCCGAATCCCAGTTAGCCGAATTGCAATTCGCCTAATTATATACAGTATCCTTACAATGCTCGAAATGGCTAAGAGCTAAAGTGAAGAAAGACAAAATGCCGATTGCTGAAAACGCCGATGACACATTTTATTTCCCTTTCTTAAATGCTACATAGTAATCTGCTTTCCAAGATAATAGGCATCACATGCCATAAACTATAAGTTAAAAATAGGTGCAAGTGGTGAAAGGTCAAGGAAACTAATTGCTATTATGCAAATTAGAGTCGCACACTGTGGGTGATGGCCCACAAATAAGATGTTACGTCAGAAGTTCAATATGTCTCACACACAACTTCGCTTCAAGTGTATAGAGCACGATCAGGATGAAATATCGGGGGTTCTTTGCTGTTCTTTCCGGCACTGGTCTGATCCCAATCACCTTTTGCGCATTTCCTATATGTAACCGTCCCCAACGCTTTATCTTTCTGAAACACGTATCTGTGAAAGAGCAATACGCGATCTCTATTCTGCGAAGTCATGACCTCCATTCCAATCGCAAGGCTACTGCCACACCATGCAAGAAAAGAGGTGAGAAAACAGGTCTCGCCCTCGGTGTATGATGAAATCTCAGTCTGATACGAATTTTCCTGTCTGACGGCCTTGACTTCGCATTCACCTATCAGTCTGGGTTTTCGGCATTTTCGGCATTTTCTTTCGAGATATTGTTACCATCTGTGAATTCAACGTTTGGAGAACTGAGGGATTCATCATTTACGCAGTTCAACTTGTTTATCCTTTGCTATTCTGCGCACTCGTTTTGTTAGGCTGTCGGCATTTTGGTTTTAGCCTTTTGTTATAGACTCGCCAGAACAATCTCTTTTGCACCCCTTCAATAAGCTTCTAGAACTAAATGCGACTCACACTGCACATTTGAAAGGTATATCCCATATTTTGATGTGGAATTTTCAAGGAAGAAGATAGTTCGATGATGACGTCAACTACCAATGGCGCCATGCGTTTCATTCCTTAAACGCATACGTAAGTCGAAGTTAACTATGATTAAATGTAATTGCATTTTTCCTTTCATAAAAGAATCGTACATGATTTATTGAACTGAGTAAGGTTACGTGAAAGAAATTGGAGTTTTGGGCGTCTTCATATGCTGTAAAATGAATGATGATCCTACGAATACCAATGTTCCTCTAAATCACTAACTCCATGGTATTACAATATTACATTTAATGGAATTTCTGCGTCCTCTACGATTGCTACGAAATCAAGTGCCCATTCCATAAAGTTCCTCATCATGAGTTTCAATATCAATAGGATTCATCCTAAAACATTAGATCTTTTACCTCCAATAAATAACCAGTCTGGGGTACCAGAAAGACAGGCTAATGTCAGATACCACTCAGCTGGGAAACATCGTGGGGGAAAGGAATGGCGTATTCCAGACGATTCGTGAATGGTTGCGGTATATTTTAGAATATTCCAGTCAATAGATAAATTGAACCTGCCTAAGAGTAACTGTAAACCAAACATAAAATAGAAAACTTTGGCGTTGCCATCCCAGGCTAGTTCCACAGCTTCGACAGTTCCTTCCAGATGAAAAGTTGTAGAAAATGGGGAGCCAATCAATCAGTATCAGATAGGGTGTCAGCATTTCCGGGAACCCGTGCTGAGCGTACGTACCCTTTTTTTTAATCGAGCAAAATTCAAACAGATTATTCCAATTTAATTGAATTCTTGGGAAACGATTTGGAACTTTATATAATTTAAATTTTGTATTTTCCCAAAAGAGTTCAGATCGAAGAACCTGTGAGTACACTGTAATCCACTGTGTCGCTCGTATTCGCGAGATGACTCTGTGTATATAAGGATCTCTTAATGACGGTTATAAAGAAAAAGAAGTGACAAAAGGATTTGAGGAAACTTCAAGAATGGTATGAGGTCCTTGTTGCCTCTCAATCCGACAAACATGCTTAGAAATGTATACGAAAAAAGCATACTTGTGGCAAGTTCTGAAATATGTAATGCATGTTAGATTCAAAATTCGCTTTCGCAGAGCAAGGAACGTAATCAATAGGCATTGGAAGTGCCTATTACCTTCCTTCAATTCCTTCCTGTACCAAAATTCAACCTCCTCTGAAAGCATCAACAGGAACGAAATTCTGCTCGCTCTCTCACCGCTTCCTCTTTCACCACATAATCGCTCCATCAAATTTGAAGCTCCATCACCCAGGGTTGCGGAGGACACTAAATCCCGTTTTTGGAAGATGTGAATTACATTCCCTTTTTTTTCTCTCCCCCACCCAGGGTAGCCACTCGTGGGGGGGGGGTTTCGGAGGAAAGAGACCAACAGTAAGAAAGATATTGACTCGTAGTCGACGAAAAGTGACTGTTTTATGTTTGCGATGTTCCATTTCATCATGAAAATGAAATTAGCTGTCGTTCGATTAGGCTAAGAGTGCTTGCACCGGTATCATCCCCAATGTCCAATCATGCCGGATTCAAGACTGTTTCAACCTTCGTATTGGCGTCTGGATCTTCTGTTTCTTACTGTATGATACATTTGAGTGATGAGTTCATGAGCTGGGATGAGAATGAAGAGATAATTAACAGTTATTGATCGATTAGTAGGATATGCAGATATTTTATCTAGACTTCCCATCCTCTTAAGGATGGCGCGTACCATGGATTCCTTGCTTTATGAAGGCATTCTCTCCTTATATCTATTGAGATGGTTAAAGGAACTCCAGATAGGCTTAACGTTCGACGTCCCACGGAAATGGTTCATGAAACGCGAAACAGGTCTCCAATCGGTCTAACGTTACACGTTCTCAACCAGATGTCTCGAAACCACGATTCACCCCTATAGGCCTAGTCGACGCCGTCAGTCGAGAATTAAGTTTATTTTAAAAGAAAAAGGTAGGCCTTGGCGTGACCTGAAGGCAGTCTGTTGGTCAGGTCTAGACCTAACATTAGTGAGTCCCGTAGAGAGGCGGGGGGGGGGAGTTGAAGAAAGGGAAAGCAATTGAAAATTAGTTTTCAAATTACTTTATATCCATGTGAGTATTTATAGCAAGGCATAAACCCTTCTCCCTCCAATGGTATAACATGTAAAAATAGGGAGGAGTTGATGAGAATAGAGAAAAGCGTTGAAAAAAGGAACCTGAAGAAAGAAACCTGCTCAACATCAACTATAAAAAAACATCGACAAACAGAAGAAAATATGAATTCTTACATTAATTAAAACCTCTAAAGGTTTCTCTTTTCTGAATGTTTCGCGAAATGCAATGACCTTTGCAAAGATGAACGAGAAAATGGAAAGTTCTTAAAATTAATGTTTCGTAAATCCCAACGAGATAAGGCTTTCTTGATAAATACAAAAGCACGGCAAGTTTAAAGAGCACATGCATTTCGCTCCTTCAGCAGCGACAGCAGCCTAAGGCGAATTATTTTGAAAGACTTCAGAAAATACCAACCTGCAATCCACACCTTCCAGTTTTTGCTGAGCATCCGCAGAGTGGGGACTGTCTGCAAGCCATAGATTGCACTGAATGGGATCCTCTGCAACATTAGTAGAAAGAATAGCCAAAGGGCGTAAAAGAGAGCAGCCCGACAATTGCAAGTCTTTGCATGGAAAATAGACAACTGTGGAACTAACTTAAGGAGATGATGATCCCAGATTTCTGCCGAGAAAGAAATTCAAGCATGGGCCGGAAGGAGTCTTCCGTCAATCCCGTGATGTTGTTACCACTGAGGTCGACCAATGTGTTTCTTGCGACACCTGAAAATGGAAAGAGGCGTCGGAATCATCAGAACCTCTCTTCGCTTTCGAGTTCGCCCGAGTAGGTTGAAATGGTCAACCTATTTTTGCCAGGGAAAGCTGTCACGAAGGGAGAACTAAAGATTCGAATTATCTGATTGGAGAGAAAGTTCTCGGAATTTCATGAACAATTATTACAACCCAGTTTATTTAAAAGCAAAATCATCTCAATCATGAATATAATCACTATTGGCCTCTATCACTTCACGCCAACGTTTATGCAAGCTATGGATGCCATTCCAATAGAACTCTGGCGGCTGCGCTACGAAAAAGTTGGCCAAATCGGTTTTCAGGTCGTCTTGGTTGGCGTACTGCTTTCCACCCATGTGACGGTCCAGGGCAACGAAAAGGTGATAATCGGACGGGGCAAGGTCGGGGCTGTAGGGCGGATGCGGCAGCACCTCCCAGCACAGGTCCAGTAACTTTAGATGAGTCTGTCTAGCGGTGTGCGGCCGGGCATCGTCGTGGAGGAGGATGGTTCTCTGTCTTTCTGGGCGTGTTTCAGCCAGTTTCTGCTGCAGCCGATCGAGTTGCTGGCAGTAGTAGGCAGCAGTGATGGTGGTGTTTTGCGGCAACAGCTCAAACATGATGATGCCTTTCGAATCCCAGAAGACCGAGAGCATAATCTTTTTGGGGTGCAACTCCTGACGGGGTTCTCTTTCGGCCGATGCTCCGGCGTCCACCCACTGACGTTTTCGTCGAATGTTGGCATAGAAGGTCCACTTTTCGTCGCCTGTCACCACTGAGTCTAGCCAATCCGTTCGGCGCGAACGTGACAGAAGGGAGATGGCCATGTCTACTCGTCGCTGGCGGTCCCGATCATCCAGCTTGTGGGGTACCCAGCACCCCAACTTTGCCTTCTTGCCAAGCTCAGCCAGATGATGAAGGATAGTTGTATGGGAGACACCCAGCAAGTCCGCAAGCTCTCGCGATGTTTGCCGGTTGTTGGCCTCCAGTGCCTCCTGCAAGGCAGAGTTATCAAACTCCGAAGGACGACCGGTGCGTGGCTGGTGTTCCAGGCTTTCCTTTCCTTTCTGGAAGCGACTGTACCGATCATAGGCAGTGCTCTTGGACACAGTGTCCGGGCCAAACGCGGTATTGATGTCAGCGATGGAATTGACTGCCTTCTTCTCGATTCGGAAGTCATAAAGAAGAAGCAGGCGAACTTGCTCCTTAGTAAGAGGGTAGGGCTGGTTCATGGCTGGAGTGCACCAGGGCTATAATAATATACGGTTGTATGCCGAAGGACACGACCTACTTATAAACACACGCAGAACATTCTAGCATGCTCTGGAAAAAAATTGTACTGGATATTCAAGAAATTCCGAGAACTTTCTTTCCAATCAGAATAACTGGTTCGTTCTGGGGAAAAAGATTCCAACCTGATAACGTCGACACAAAGAAATGCCATCTAGCCATGAAATTCATTTCTATGAAAAAGGCGCAAACCCTCAGGAATCCACTGACCTGTCGGTAAAATGTAATAATTTCTATGTTTGCATAATTATGTTTTACGAATCATTCTCGGTGACTGGTTCGCGCCGTGCGAAATAAAGCACAAGGATCGAGGAGGGAACTTCCATGCCTCATCATTCATGCCTCTTAGTAGTGATTCATTTTACGTAGACATTCCTATACATAATCGTGCTTTCGCGCCAACCAGGAGAATTGGCCCATCATATTTCACATCAGTTTATTCCCCAAACTAAAATCCACGTAAAGAAAGGGTCGAGTTCATCAGAAGCAGATCTTGGAAACAGTGTTCGTCAACCCACCTTAATGTCTCCTTGTTTGTGGAACGGAGCTGGAAGGAACTGAAATCTAACCTGTAATGGCACCTGGTTCCAGTTTCACGATGCCGTTATACCGAAGGGAAACATCAGACAAAACCTCGCTGTGGAACGTCAGTGATTCCTTTGACAATGTTGGTCCCAGATAGCAATGAGATGCGTCAAAAGACATCAAAGCGGTTGAGCGCTCGAACAATCCTTGAGGAATCTTCGAAATGGGATTGTTACCTGCAATGGAACAGGAAATTTTCGCCCATGTATGCTTTCGGAGTTAATAAATCCATTCAGGATTTAAGTATTCATGAGACCATTGTCTTTTAGTATTGAGAGCATGTAAGAATGAATTGTCTTACCCCTCAAAAAATTAGTTAATCTAATATTTCTCATTAATATAATGTTTCGATGATATATTTTCAAAACGTATACTTTCTCTGATGCCTTATAAATTAAATAAATTGCCATTGTTTTCTGCATTTACGGAAAACTGGGATCACTGATTCATGTTACTAATTGTTAGATAATACATACTGATATCCAATATCTGCAAGTTGGGCATGAACCATTCTGGCACAAGTGTTTCTATGCGATTGTGCGAAAGTTGCACAATCTGCAAACTGGAGCTCGTGATGGCTGGCACTGATTTCAAGGCGCCGTAGGAGAGTTCCAACTTTGATAGACTGATCATTTCAGGAATGACTTGAAATGGGAATTCTTCCAGGGCGGAATTGTTGATGATGAGGGTTCCAAGGCTATTCTTCAATGAAAGCAATACCGTAGGATCCACGCTGACCAGGCTGGTTTCAGAAATGGTTATTTTGTTGAAGGTCACTTTCCCAAAAATTCCATCCATGAGGTGCTTCACTGCCAAATTTCCTTTCATATTGAATCTACTTTGTCCACCGTAATATCTGTAAGAAAGCAGATAGAAATATCATACCTATTATGGAGGAAGACAAGTAACTGCAACGTATGATCACCGGCTTATCTTTGCCCATTTCACTCTATTTTCTAATATATATAGACGGTCGTGACTTACTGACTGACGCTAATTCTAACCATGTTCGAGAGAAGTTAGAAATCTGAAACTTGGTACTGGGATGCAGGATTTATAAAAAAATCCGACTTTGGAGATACATGCCCAGGGGGCATATATTTTGGGGGAGAAGTTTTTAAAGATATATATAGTGACGGATTAGGATGGCATCGGCGGCATAACTGGATATCTCGTGTTCGGTGGTGTAGTGGTAGCACACCTGCCCGGCAAGTGGGAGGCCCGGGTTCAAATCCTGGCAGTTCCTTGGAATTATTTCGGCCTCTTATGGCTTCCAATTCACGTAACTCATTCCTAACAATAATTTTGCTTTGGTAAAACGGAGAGACATGGAAAGCTAAAACTTGGCATGGACATGCCTACCGAGATGATGCGTTCAGGAAATATTTAAAATTTTAGATACACTCCCTGGGGGGGCATATTTTTAGGGGCCGACGTTTTCAAGTCATTTTTTTTACCCTGGCATAATGGGATGGGGTGGAAAGATGAAACTTGGTACATAACTACCTATTGGCATGCTGCGTGCAGAAAACTTCAGACTTTGGAAGTAAATGTCTGGGGGCACAAATATCAAAGGGGGATGTTTTCAACTAATTTTTTTGCATCAGTTAAACTGATGAACATGGAAAGCTGAAACTTTGCATGAATGTGACTACTGAGACAAAGAGTTAAAGAAAAATGTTAAGTCTCGACACATCCCCATGGAGGAATTTTTTCGAGGGGCGATGTTTTGAAAAAAAAATTGTGACGAATTGGAAGTGCAAAGGTGAAACTTGGCACACCTGTAAGTGACATGATATTACTGAGCTGAGGGAGTATTCATGTTTAATGGTGCATCCCTCCGGGCATAGCTTCAGGGTGGGTCGGCCTTTCCAAACATGTTTTTTCACCAGGAAAAAGGGCAAACGTATAATATTGAAACTTTGTGGGCATGCAGTTCATTGGGCATGTAGTTCAATACATATCCCCTTCAAAATTCCAATATTTTGGAAATATGACATTTTTCCTGAGCTCAGTGCGTTAGCAGTCACGTTCTTGCCAAGTTTCAGTTCTCCATGTGTCTCCATTTGATTGAAGCAAAGAGAACTAATTAAAAATATGTTCACTGAAAAGGTGTGACCCCTACGGCATGTATCACTAAAGTAGAATTTTTCTTTAACTAAGCATGGGAAGAGCTACTTATGTCAGTCGGTCAGCTACTCACGATCGTCTATATAATCTCTCATATCCGAGCGAATCGAGCAGAAATAGAAAAGTAGCTGCTGGCATACGCATAACAGACGTAATGTTGATTTAAGGAAAAATTCAACTTTCGTTGTGCGTCTCCTTAGAGCACAGCTTTTTGGTGGGTCGCTTTTCCGAATACATTTTTTTTGCAAGCAAAAAGGGGATACGTATGAGGCTGAAACTGGGTAACATGGAGTTCCATGAGTCTGCATTTCACAAGAAAAAAAAAATTTCGTTAAAACCCATCAGGGCACTTTTTTAAAGTCCCATTTTCCTGAATTTTTTTTAGTGAGCCACTGAAACAGACACAAAATTTAAAATCCCTCAGGAAGTACCTATTTGATGGCTGAGTACAGGAAAAATCCTGCTTTTGAGATATGTCCACTTAGCATAGATTATAGGAGGGAAGTATTTCAAAATGCATTCTCCACCCTTACAAAAAGGGACACAAGAAAATATACCAAGATAGGCACTCATAGAATCATATAAGTAATGATTTCGATAAAAATCAATACTTTTGACACCATATGTCACGCTTTTCATTGGAGACGTACTTTATATACGTGTTTGCCATTTCGCAAAGAATAAATGAATTTATCACTCTCCAAGGTAATGGAGCGCCGAAGGCGCGACCATGAATATAACCGTATTATTCCATCAAAACGCGAAAATAATTTAGGTCTATATGCAACTCGACAGCGTGAATTAATCAGGGGTGGAAAAGAGGAGCCTTGCAATGCCGTTCCATCGCTTGAAAGATTACCTCCAGGTAAAACCATAGGTCAAAATCTCCCCTTCATTCAACCGTAAGTGATTGAATTCGGAAATGGTGCCTTCTAAGACTGACTGTAACAGCCGCTTCAAAGTGGGAATCGCTGTTGAAAAGCTGACCTAGAAGTAGAGAGACTATAACGATAAATATTTTATTTTGTGTGTTATTTGTGCCATGAAAGTAGTAGTTTCTCTTTGTTTTTCCTTATTTTTTCGACGGCAAGTTTTAGGCGTTACGCCTCTTACTATTCTCTCACTCATATGCTCCCCTCAGAAGATAATCATTCACACTTTTCAGAAGGGTATATTGTTGAGGAAACGACTTGCTATTAATCACCTTTTCAAAAGGCTTTCCATGTAGGGTCCCGAACGACAGCCAATAATGTAGCATGTGAACATCATCGCATTTCTCCAAGAAATGGGTCCTTCCATTGCGCAAAATAAGTAAATGTATGGTTGATCATATATTCATTCGGACTCATTCCAGGTATGAATATCACGATGTTAAACTCATACGCATCCGTTCCACCTAAAACTTTTTCTGCAGTAATCCTATTGTCCTGCTTAATTTTTAAAATCATAAACACATAATATATCTCACAAATTCGTTCCGTCAAAGTAAATCTCCCAGAGCTTGTAAATTATTCAGAAATTGGAAATGGACGAGTGCCTGTAAATCTTTTAGCTTGAGTACACCCTGCCCGCATTCTTCTAAATGTCATCCAAAGAAAAGCAAGTAAAAGTACGAAAAGAGTATTCTCAGTATTCATGCCCATTGACTCCTTAGGAAAGGAAGACAAATCGAAACAATCTCTGCGATACTTTCAGATCGAGTAACGATTTCCAATGAAACAGAGGTTGGATTGGGCCTTGGTTATCAACGCTTAGAAGGTACTCATGTTTACTCGAATAGACTACCATCAGAACCTCTTGTATTTCCAGTTTATTTTCATTTTTACGTTTTCTTATAACGTTTTCTAAGGAAGAACAAATAAAAAAAATATTTCTAAGAGCCTGTATTAATCTATCAATATTAAGGGAGGCAAATTTGAGAAAACACTCTCAGAAAGATCAGTCATTTCCTTTTTTATTAGTGGAAGTCAACTCTCAAATGTCATGCGGTAATGCCAGTATCAAGGTGTTTGCTCGGATTCAAACGCAAGTCCATACAACTGGTTTTGGAAGAACTGGTGTTGAGATTTGAATTTCTTTATAGACCAATTGACTAATTCTATTAAATGGAAGAATTCTAAAGAATATATATTTTCCTTCCTTAAAAGTTTCAAGTTATTTTCGCCAGTGAATAAATCAACTTAATATAAAAATGCAAGATAAATGTTTCTCACGTGAGAAGGGGAGTGAACCAGGTCACATTGTTGAATGCCGCGAAGATCTCACTAGTACTTGCTTGAGAACAATTCACGTCCATTCTTCCTTCGGCTTCATCAGATGAACAGGTGCATGGTGAAATTGCATTGGGATTTGGGCATATCCTAAAGGAGATGAAGGAAGCCTGTACTTGAGATGACATGTCTATTTCTTCGTCATCATTCGATGTGACCTTTTCTCGTAAAAAGCATGATCAAAAAGCATCACCCATGATAATTCAACTTTTTAAATTTCGTTAATGTTTCACTTAGGTTCAATAACTCCTTTTTCAAATCCAACCATATTCGAAAACTATACTGGGAGTTACATACGAGACTCTTCAGCTATAAAATCCGTTATTACCTGTAAAATGCGCACCATTCTTCAGAAAGACTTTCGCTAACTCTATGAATAGAGATATGAAAGGCAGTTCTTTATCACTTCGGCTTTTAGTTTAATAACGGCACTGTAATACGATGAAGAGCAGTGAAGGGGATTGCGAGAGCCTATCATGTAAAAAGATTCAGCGCGGGAAGCGTTTCACATTTCTTTCTCCAAAGTTCTTCTTTTGCACACGATGTGGAGAATGTCGCCCACAAATATGTCATCCCTTTGCTTTCCAAGAGACACAATTGAGACTTGCAAAACGTCAAACTGTGATTTTTGCTAGGTGTTAGTCATATAAAAGACTCAATAATTTCTGCCATGTTGACATTAGACATTGATGTGTATATCTAAATGAAAGCGGGGGAGAGTTAAATCCTCCTCTGAAAATTTCCTGCTGAATCAATGTCAACATAGACCGATTCCAGCGGAGAAACAAACAGAAAATGCTGAATCTAGGTTTTTTCCCAGCTGGATATGACTGGTTTCATTAAGCGCATCCTTCAGGAAAATCCCTCTCCGGTTTTAAACAGCCGATTCTCCGTTTACTGAGGCAATTATTAGTCACCAGGACATCATAGCTACAATTTCAATATAACGACCCCACACAGCACAGGTATATCCCAAAGATATCCCAGAGATATCCCCTTGGGACAAGTGCGATGTCCCAGAGGCAAGGAGTAGGAGGCATTTTGATATCTTAGGGATATCAAAATGTCTGGGCCCAATGACATCCCAAGGATATCCCTTTCTTGAAGAAATAGCACATCCCAGAGATGTCCCAGGGATGTCCCATTGGGACAAGTGAGAAGCCTCAGGTAGTACTTGTAGGGGCCTTCCTATTCCTTCCTACTCATATGGACTCATTTCCTATTGCACAGGAGAACCCTTTGTTTTCATAGATGTCTCTATTTTATATAGGAACACCTAATCTAAAGTTCTTGATCGATTGAAGAGTGAGGATTAAGGGGGAGGAAAATACCATTCCTAAAGGAAGCCCCATCATAGGAGACACATCTCCAAGGGACAAAATTTAGCACTTTTACACGAGGAGTCATGGATGATATGATGTAGTCTTA